AAACTGTGTCTGTCTTAATTTCGGTCTGCAAAGCAATAAAATGTGATGATTTTAAAGAGGAGTGATTCTTTTCTATACCGAGTGTGTGTATGTATGTATGTGTGTGTGTGTGTTTGTATGTGTGTGTATGTATATGTGTGTGTGTGTGTGTATGTATGTGTATGTATATATGTGTGTGTGTGTATGTATGTGTATGTATATATGTGTGTGTGTGTATGTATACGTGTGTGTGTGTGTGTGTGTGTGTGTATGTATGTATATATATATATATATATATATATATATATATATATATATATATATATATATATATATATTATGTATGTATGTATGTAAATATACAGTTGCAAGAAAAAGTATGTGAACCCCTTGGGATTCCGTGGAGTTTTGCATGAATTGGGCATAAAATGTGCTCTAAACGTCATCTAAGTCACAACAATAGAAGAACACAGTCTGCTGAACATAATACTACACAAACATTAGATGTTGCCATGGTTTAATTGCACATAACATGTAAACATTCACAGTGCAGGGAGGAAAAAGTATGTGAGGCCCTAGCTTAATGATTTCTCCCAGAGCTAATTGGAGCCAGGAGTGAGCCAACCTTGACTCCAATCAGTGTGATGATATTGGATGTGTTGCTGACAGCTGTCCTGCCCTTAGAAAACACACACCTGTTTTGGGTTTACTGGTTTCAAGAAGCACTGTCTGATGTGAACCATGCCTCGCAGAAAAGAGCTCTCAGAAGACCTACCATCAAGAATTGTTGACTTGCATGAAGCTGGAAAGGGTTACAAAAGTATCTCCAAAAGCCTTGATGTTCATGTGTCCCGGTAAGACAGACTGTCTACAAATGGAGAAAGTTTAGCACTGTTGCTACTCTCCCTAGGCGTGGTCATCCTGTAAAAATGACTGCAAGAGCCCAGCGCAGAATGCTGCATGAGCTAAAGAAGAATCCCAGAGTGTCAGCTAAAGACATACAGAAATCTCTGGCACATGCTAACATTTTTGTTGACACGTCTACAATAAGGAAAACATTAAACAAGAATGGAGTACCTGGGAGGACACCACAGAGGAAGCCGTTGCTGTCCAACAAGAATATTGCAGCACGTTTGAAGTTTGCAAAAGAGCACCTGGATGTTCCACAGCACTACTGGCAGAATATACTGTGGACAGATGAAACCAAGATTGAGTTGTTTGGGAAGAACACACAACACTATGTGTGGAGAAAAAAAGGCACAGCACACCAACATCAAAACCTCAGCCCCACTGTGAAACATGGCGGAGGAAGCATCATGCTTTGGGGCTGCTTTGCTGCCTCAGGGCCTGGACGGAGTGTTGTCATTGAGTGTTGTCATTGATGGGAAAATGAATTCCAGAGTTTATCAAGACATTTTGCAGGAAAACGTATGACCATCTGTCCGCAAAAACCATGAAGCTCTAATGTTTGAGTATGGGTGACTTTGTTCTTCTATTGTTGTGACTTAGATGACGTTCAGAGCACATTTTATGACCCAAATGCATAAACTCCAGGAGTCCCAAGGGTTCAAAACTTTTTCTTGCAACTGTAGATGTGTGTGTGTGTAGGTATATGTGTGTGTATATATATGATCTAATACAGGATAATATATTTATATATATATGTGAGTATGTATGTATTATGTATGCCATGTAAGGCGGTGTATATGTGTGTGCGTGTGTGTGTATATGTATGTGTGTGTATATATATATCCAAAGGTTGTACATATGTATATATATGTGTGTGTGTATATGCACTGTAATGTATTATATATATATATATATTATGTATGTGTATAATATAATATATATATATTATATATACAGTCATGGCCGAAATTGTTGGCACCCTTGATATCTAGGAAATGTATTTTCTCACGAAACGTATTGCATTAAGTTTTGCTATACACATGTTTATTCCCTTTGTGTGTATTGGGACAAAACAAAAAAAGGAGGAAAGAAAGCAAATTCGACATAATTCCAAAAAATGGCTGGACAAAAGTATTGGCACCCTTTCACAACTCGGATAAATAAGAATGTTACAAGCATGTGATGCTCCTGTAAACTCACCTGGGGCAAGTAACAGGTGTGGGGCAATATAGAAATCACACCTGAAAGCAGATAAAAAGAGAGACGTTCACTTAACCTTTGCATTGTGTGTCTGTCTGTGCCACAATAAGCATGGACAACAGAAAGAGGAGACGAAAAGGACCTGAGAACCAAAATTGTGGCAAAATATCAACAATCTCAAGGTTACAAGTCCATCTCCAGATAGATTTGCCTTTGCGCAACATTATCAAGAAGTTTGCAACCATGGCACTGTAGCTAATCTCCCTGTCGTGGACGTGAGGAAAATGATGAAAGATTGCAACGCAGAATAGTCCGGATGGTGGATATAGCAGCCCCAAACATGTTCCAAAGACATTCAAGCTGTCCTGCAGGATCAGGGAGCATCAGTGTCAGCGCGAACTATCCGTCGACATTTAAATGAAATGAAAACGCTATGGCAGGAGACCCAGGAGGACCCCACTGCTGACACAGAGACATAAAAAAGCAAGACTACAGTTTGCCAAAATGTACTTGAGTAAGCCAAAAGCCTTCTGGTAAACGTCTTGTGGACAGATGAGACCAAGATAGAGCTTTTCGGTAAAGCACATCATTCTACTGTTTACCGAAAACGGAATGAGGCCTACAAAGAACAAAACACAGTACCCTACGGTAAAAATGGTGGAGGTTCAATGATGTTTTGGGGTTGTTTTGCTGCCTCTGGCACTGGGTGCCTTGACTGTGTGTGCATCATGAAAATCTGAGGATTACCAAAGGATTTTGGGTCGCACTGTGTCAGAAAGCTGGGTTTGCGTCCAAGTGGGTCTTCCAGCAGGACAATGACCCCAAACAATACGAAAAAAGCACTAAAATGGATGTATTTGAATGTATATCATATATATATATATAAATTCCTGTGTGTGTATAGATATATAAATATATGAGCCCAGATATAAATCCCTTGAACATGTGGAGAGTGTTAAAATGTTGGGAAAAGGTGTCCTTCCAATAAGAGAGACCTGGAGCTGTTATGTAAAGGAAGAGTAAAATTCCGGGTGAGAGGTGTGAAGCTTATTGATGGTTATAGGAAGCGACTGATATTATGTTTTCCAAAGGGTGTGCAACCAAATATTAAGTTAAGGGTATACTTTTGTCCAGCCCATTTTTGGGGTTTTTTGTGTGACATTATGTCATATTGCTTTTCTGCCTCTGTTTTATATATTCCAATACATATACAAAGGGAATAAACATGTGTATAGCAAATATATATGCAATACCTTTTTTGTGTGATACTTGATTTTCAGGAAAAATATCAAGGGTGCCAACAATTTCGGCCATGACTGTATATATATATTATATAATAACACACACCTATACATACATACATACACACACATATATATATATATATATATATAATATATAATATATATGTGCATTGTTTATCACACACATACATGTAATACCTATAAACACATACATTTTATATTTATTGTATGTCAGCCTTTCGGAGTGACGGATCATGGTAGTAGCTGGCTGGGAAGATCACAGGACACAGCTGCTGCATTTGGAAGGAAATGCTGATATAATCTTAATGCTTTAAATGCCTGAAGTCCTGGACTTGGAAGATTGTGTAATTATTCTTGCTGCACATGCAGGCTGATTCTGAGCTCATCCATAGAGGGTCCACACTTTGTCTTCTTGTAAGATGACTACTTTTTTTCTGTGATTCCAAAGGATTAGCGCTGTTTTTCTGGAGAAGTAGCGGGAGTGTCATACCCCCATACCTAAAACTACACAATATTTCATGGGTAGTTTTCACAACATATACAAAAGGATTTATTTATAAATGTTTTTACTTAAGATGCACACATTTTCTTAATTGGTTTTCACTTCTGCGAAATGAAAGTTCTGTGATTCGTGGGTGAAAGAATTTGTGACTAGACCCATAAGTGTATCTAAAGCCTAATTTTTTTTTTTTTTTTTTGGATGAAGCTGAAAAAAAGAGTTTTTGTTTGGTTTGTATTGCAAACATTCCACATATTGCTCCACATTGTCACTTGAAGGCAGTGAAGATGCATGTCACCTTATGTATCCAATCAAAGAAATTGCCATCACTTTCAAAAACTATGGGGTGTGTTTATAAAAAAATTTCAGTGGACAAATGACCTAAGCATTCTCCCAGCCATAATAAATTCTGACCACGTTTTCCTTAGTATGTTGATTTCCTATGATCATCAACCCCATCTAGTGGCTTTAAAGAGGTATATTCCTGATTGTGGTATTTCAAGAAAAAAAAAATTATGGCCTCTAGATGGCATGGAGGAATATAGCAAATCATCATAATAAAGCAGACCTTCATCCTAAAGGTCATATTGCCCTGCCCCCCCCCACCTTCAATCTCCTACAATTGGACATAAAGGTTTTTTAATTTTTTATTTGATGACATTTATTTTGTGCTTTAGCACTTCAGCATTTATTGAATTATGATTTTTTTTTCCGTTCATGTGCGCAGATATGCTGCAGTGCTTTGGGTTCCAAGCGACCCTGCAGCACATCTGCACACATGTGAGTTTCCCCAACCATCTGCGTACGTGCAGGGGTTTCCCGTGTATGCGCAAAGTCAATTTATTAGGGAAGACCCAAACTTTTGTTCTCTTTGTGCATGTGCACAGACCCAAAGACCTGGACAGATTCAGTCGGTAAGTCTACTGCTGCATCCAGTATGAATGTCACTGTGCAGGAACTTACAAGAAGCTAATATAAAGACAGATTTAGGTACCCACATTAGCTGTGTTTTAAAAATACATTTATATATTATCAAGGAATACATAACGTGATTAAAATGGCTACATTTTCACCTGCCCGTAGTTTTGATTTAGTATTTGTTTGCAGTGGGTATGTTATATTTATACATATGGTGTATTATTTTGCAGAACGGTCAGATATTTGTGTTCACCGGTATGCTGGGTGCAGTGGCAGACAGTAACCAGCTTGCCTTCATTCTGAGTCATGAAATCGCGCACGCTATTTTAGATCATACGGTGAGTACATGAAGTATACTTCAGACCCTTCCCAAATCTATTATAGGATATTTCATTTGAACATCAGAACGCTGATAAACACTCGCCTGGTAGTTACAGTGCGGCTCTGTGATCTGCAACTGTTGACTAACTGCGCTTCGTTCTGACTACTTTCTAAAATGAGAATTTTGTTCACTTTTCCGGAGATTTCCTCTCATTTTCTGTTGTGTTTCCAGAACAGGAAGTGAGGGAAACCTCCCTAGCAGGATACAGGCAGTAAAAAATAACCTGGCAAGGGTTTCAACTCTTCTGTCCAACACTTAAAAATGTGCTAAGAAAATATTTTGTGGAAAAAGTAATGAGCACCCAGATAAACTGAAAGCAATAAATGGGTTTTTACTGACACTTGAAGCAGAAGCAGGGAGATCCTTGCACTGCAGGTCTTCAGGTACAGCTTCCTCTCTAGCAAGAGAACAGTGATCAGCATAGCAGTGACCAGGGCCATCTTTAATATTGAATGGACCCTGGAAAAAATTTTTTACCCCCCCCCCCCGTTCCACCAATTTTACTTTTCACCCTAACGTTCCAAAAAAATGCATACATAGACTTGTTTCCTATGTGTCACATTCAAACTATAATACAGCCTAGTGCTTTGATATAATGTAGCCATGCTGCATTTTATCACAGCACACCGGCCCAAAACGCACTGCAGTATCAGGCAGCACAGTACATCGCACTGCCAACATTGCAGTGAATTAAGTTTATGTTTTGTACACTTCAAATAAATCCGATACAAAACAAAAAAAGGGATGATGCATGTAGCAAACTAACTCATCAGAGTGGGAAGCGGAGTTCTCCTTTTTCTTGTTCCGTTCTGTTATTTGAGGTATTCCTCGATCATTCCTCACATCCCCCCTTTCCAGTCCTGAGAGGCAAACATTATCTCCTGACAGATGGTGTGGGTCAACCAGGTGAAGCATTCCTGATGGTGCCAGCAGTCTGGGGAAACTGTAACCTTTCTCACCTACCTTCTGATAAGGCCAGCCTTTTTCAGAGAGCTGGGAAGCATTGACCCAAAACTGTGCAAGCCCACACATCATCAAACTGACCAGCAGTAATGGAACATTCCACAGGTTAACTGTATGTTTCTTATCATGGGGTATGAAGCCTTTAGTTTAATTCAGAGTTTCCCAATGACCACTCCCAAAACTATAGTCAGAGCCCCCCTCCCTTTGAGAGGGATTTTAAGAAGAGACAAGTTAGAGTTTGACACAGATCTCCCAGCTAACATCGAAGGAGGAGATAAAGAATCGTCCTGCTCCGCAACTTGGATCTGCAAACCCAGACATATGGGCAAGTAACTTAACCTGTAATTTCATTCCTAATTATCTCTTTGCTGTGTCTTTATATACATATATATATATATATATATATATATATATATAATATATATATATATATATATATATATTTGTGACATCTTTGTAAATATTTTATTGCACCTGTTTGACGTTAAATCTTTCTTTCTGAAAGTGTTAAACTGTTTCTAAGCGCTTACCTGCAATTCACGAATTCCTGCCTTTTGAAGAGACGCTACTGTGTTTGTTTACTCCCTGCTCAATTGACCATATTGGACAGGTGACTTTTCAATCATTATAGTGTATTTCTGACAGAGTCCGTCTTCTCTGTACATTTCAAGACGGTGGGTGGCAGTAGAAGGGTTAGTTGCGTAATTAACCTGACCCAGTAGCAAGCGCATTCAGGCTGCAGGCACCGATTGTAGCCCATTAGCTGGACAATCGCTGTGCAGGGTGCAGCTGGGTGGGGCCTTGTTACGCGCGTCACACCGCGGTTTTAGATTGGCCGGTCCTTTGGTCACGAGTTTGGTGAGAAGGTCTGGGGTCTGATGCCGTGGGCGTGACGTATTACTGTTAGTCGCGGTCGTGCGATTGTCGCATGTTGGTGGCGGCGACCGTGGATCCGTGACAATGCAGTGCACTGCAAGCCCATCAAGCAGTGTTGTTCAGAATGTGTGAAAGGAACATGTGCTGGTGCTAGGCCAGCCTGTTCTAATTGGTGAACAGAACAACAGCCAGTTCAAGGTTTAGGAACAGTCAACAGGCTGGTCTATATGGGGAGAAGGACCTACCTCATTCTGACCAGCAGGGCTTACCATCTGCAGGCTCTCAGCTGCCGCTCCCACTCCGAACTCAACTCCATACCCCGTAGCCTCTTGAGTCCTAAGCATACAGGCTGCATTGGGTAAGGTCAGATGCCAGTGGAGCTCCAGACCCTCCTGCTCCCCGCTGGCTGTGGAATAATACAGCACAGGCAGCACTATCTGCCTCCCATGTACTCCGATGCTCCGCAGTGCCCATGGGGCCCCCAATTTGTGGGCTGTGCGGGTTCAATGAGAAGCTGCTTTGGGCCCCACAACAAGGACTGGGCCTCAGGGCAGCTGCCCCTTTTGCCCCACGTTAAAGAAGGCCCTCTCAGTGACATCACCAAAACTCACTCCAAATCTGGTGAACTATTAGTCAGAGAAAGCAGGAGAGATGGAGGAAGCACGCACAGAATGAAAAAAAGCAGAAGCAGGGAGATCCTCGCACTGTAGGTCCTCAGGTACAGCTTCCTCTCCAGCAAGGAGAACAGTGAGTAGCATAGGAGTGACATCACCAAAACCCACTTCAAATCTGGTGAGACTCAGTCAGAGGCAGCAGTGCTTTCATCTCACTCTGGACATACAGATATACAGATATTAGGCTCAAGGCACAGGAAGTACACTACTGCTTTTCAGAAGAAATTTTACTTAAAGTACATCTTTCAGGGTACCACATAGTCATAATTAACAATTATAGATGTTAATAATAATCGCAAAACTTAGCTTTTTTTGCATTCAGATCCACTTTAAATTTTGAAAAGAGAGGCCTAGTTCTCTGTAATGCAGAAAGGTGTTATAGATTTTGAACTGATAAAAAGTGCTGATTGGATTGAATAGTAAATTACTGTTCATGGTGCTGTAATCAGTCCTATTTTGCACTAGGTATATACCTGCATTTTATTTTAAGATGCTCCAAGCCAAATCTTCCTGCTTCTGAAAGCTGCTTTTAGCTTAGGCTTGCAGAAATACATTAGTCCAGCCTTTTTCAGCCAGGGTGTTCAGGCACCCTGGGGTGCCTTCAGGTTTCTTCAGGGGTGCCTTGGCAAAATGCCTAAAAAATTGTATATAAGCAGCGGGTGGATGAAGCCTGCTTTTTAGTTAACAGGTTTTCATTGTGCACCAATATGACCTTCCACCCACCAGCATCCTAACAACCAATGATGTCATCGGTTGATAAGGATGACGTCGGGCCCCTGCACAACATCCTTGTTTGCCTCTCTCTGTCAGCACTGGGGGTCACATTAGCTGAATGAAGGCGAGAAACTGAGGGAGAAGTGCTGTCAGTACTAGTGTGCTAGTAGTGTACTAGTACTAGTGTGTATTTTCTTTGGAAGAATAAATTCCCCCTAAAGTTAGATGTCCTACGTGTGTGGATGTTGCTGTTGGGTAAAACTATTAGTTTGGTTTTTACATTTTAGAATGGGGTGCCTCAAGATTGCGCACAATTTTAAAGGCAAATACAAAACACACCTGAGATTACAAACTGGTAGGAAATAAAACCATATAAGAAACATTAAAAAATCAGCACAAGGGACATAATTTACAGTCATGGGGACGTGACCCTTGGTGATTTCTCTTCTGTTAGTAGAAATTCTCCTCCATCCATGCCTCCCAAACCCCAATGCCTTTCTGTACAACTAAAGCGCTATCATAAGCTCACCCACCTAAGCCCACCCTTTCTGACCGGCTGCTCCATCAAGCCATACTACAGCTTCTATGAATGAAACATGATCTATGAATGGAGGGGGCAGACGATTCATAGCTCTGCCCCCTCCATTCATAGAAGCTGTCAGACCGCTTCTATGAATGGAGGAGCTGAGCATTGTTGGGCCGTCTTGATGGGAGCCTGTGACAGCCCCTTCTTTGTATTAACATTTGGTGCATTGGAAGATTGTGGGGGTGGGAGGGTCATAGACGGAGAATGATTTCTGCTAACAGAAGAGGAATCGGCACAAGGGACACATCCTACTGACTGTAAATTATGTCCCTTGTGTTTGATTTTTTAAAAATGTTTATTACATTTGTTTTCTTTCCTACAAGTTTGTAACCTGAGGTGTGTTTTTGTATTTGCTTTTATACAGACTGATAGGTATTTATGCAAGCATAAGCTGAGAGAAGCTTTCAGAAGTACAGTTGTGCTCAAACGTCTGCTTCCCCTTGGAGAATTGGTAATACACATTGTGTACCATTTTTAAAAGAAAACATGAGTGAGCCGGCAAAACCCATTTCTTATATTTCTTATGGGTTTCATATTCTATGACTGTAGGCCATCACAGAATGGCCTAATTATAAAACAAAACATGGCAACAAGTAAACAAATGAAATGCCCCCTGTTCAGAAGTCTGCATCCCCTAGGTTCTTAATCCTGTGTTTTGCCCCCTTCAGCATCAATGGCAGTGTGCCGTCTTTTGTAATAGTTGTCTTTGAGGCCCGGAAGTCTTGCAGGTGGTTTAGCTGTCCATTCGTCTTGGCAAAATGCCTCCAGGTAGTGCAAATCTTTGGTTGTGCATTTTGGCTTTGGCATGAACCACATGTTTTGAGATCTCAGAGTGGTTTGATGATATTAAGTTCAGAAGACTGTGATGACCACTCCAGAACCTTCACCTTTTTCTGCTGCAACCACTGGAGGGTCAACTTGGCCTTGTGCTTAGGGTCATTGTTGTGCTAGAAAGTCCATGAGCGTTCCATGCGCAGCTTTCGTGCAAAAGAATGCAAATTGTCCGCCCAGGTTGGAGAATCTGTCCACAGGACAACTATTAGTCGTGCACTCCACAAAACTAGCCTTTATGGAAGAGTGGCAAGGAGAAAGCCATTGTTTATAGAAAGACTTAAGAAGTCCTGTTTTCAGTTTGCGAGAAGC